CTTTTCGACAATATACCTAATCCGATATCCCAATTAATCTCCCGAATTTCCAAGATTTTGCTCCTAATAACCCAAATCTCACTATAATCGGTTCAAATCCCGCTTAATCCCTTGATCTCCATCTCATTCCTCTTATCACTCGATATCCCCTTAATCTACACAAATCCACGAAATAATATTATCCATTGATGTATAACATAGATTGTGTGCATATCATGGAATTTCTGCGGATTAAGAGGGATATAGACGGATGAACGAAAATAACTGGGATTTGGATGAAGATCTAACGCATTACTGCCAACAAATGCCCAAAACACTGCACTGATGATGAATAGTTTTTAGTAAAAGTATTGTTTTTATTGAAATTATTTTAAAATACTGTTTTATAAAAATTACTCGATTACTCGACTACTCGAACTCGAACTCGGCCTAAAAAGTTGAGCTCGAGCTCGAACTCGGGTTTTTCAAACTCGGATTACTCGAGCTCGGTTTTTCCCAATTACTCGGTACTCGACTTACTCTATTTGAAAGTGCAGTAGGGTTTTTTTGGGGGTGGGGAATTATTGTTTCAATCCAACTCTAGCATGGGGAATTAATCGAGAGGGGGAATTATTCGAGGGGGCGGAATTATTCGAGGGAGGAGGGGGGGGGGGATTATTCGAGATAGGGGAATTAATCGAGGAAATACGGTATCCCTTCTGAAGATTCTCCTTCTAGTGATTAACAAATTAAAAAACCAAAAAACGTATTTGTTTGTACTTTATCTCGAGTGTGATAAAACTATTAGAAATTCTCTGAAAAAATAAGATTAATTTTAAATTAGGGTGGGACGATATCGATATTTTAGGAAAAATTCGATATCGAGATTGATCGATATCGACATGACCGAGATCGATATGCAAGATTTGACCCGATATCGAGATCGATATACGATATTTACCGTATTTTTATAAAAATATTTATTATAAAATTTTTACCCTTTACTGCGCCGCAGGCGAAAATTTTGAGAATTTTGGAGGTCCTTGAGTCAGATTTCTTCCATTTTTTTGCGCCGCAAGCGAAAATTTTGAAAATTTTGGAGCACCTTGCGTCAGATTTCTTCCATTTTTTTGCGCCGCAAGCGAAAATTTTGAAAATTTTGGAGCACCTTGCGTCAGATTTCTTCCATTTTTTGCGCCGCAAATTATTACATATTTTTGAATTTATTTTTCAAAAGAAAAATTTTTTAAGCTTCATTTCCATCTCTGGATCCGAACCCATCCCTATGAAATTATACAAGGGAGTGAAGTCAGTCGACTTTACCACTCAACCATCGACCAAAAAAGGAAAATAGGGATAATTTTAGATGCTCAAGTAGCCATATTTCTTCTTTTTCAGCGCCGCAGGCGAAAATTTTTAGAATTTTGGAAGGGCAAGTGGCCAGATTTCTTCAATTTCTTAGAAAAAAAGAAATCTTTAGGGGTGTATATTTAATATCGATATCGATCGATATTTGGGGCGATATATCGGTATCGGTTTCGAGATCGATATCGGATGAAACCGATATCGATATTGGAAAAAGACCGATATTCGAGACCGATATATCGATATCGATCTCGACTTGTCCTACCCTATTTTAAATGTCAAGAGTTGTACGAAAATTTAAGTGTTGCGATTATTTATGAATAATAATTCTCAAAAAAGTAAATATGTCTATCAAGAACTCTTTACATTGCAGAATTAGGAGTGATTTTTCGTTTCAAGAAAACTTTTAAATCTTCATTTTTTAAATTATTTGCTGCTAGAACAATATCGGTAATTTAATAATTATTTAAAAATGCTTTTGTGTTTTATGGTATTTTGTGTTTTATGGCTCCGGATTCGCCCTTTTATTCAGGTGTTTTGGCAAACGAATTACGGAAATGGCCAACATTATCATCCATCCGAAGCTGTACGCCAAGTGCCATGCACAAATTCTTCAAATGTTTAAAACCGCCGGACGTTAAACGCCAAAAAATTTATAACTTATAAACGCCAAAGAGCTAATATTCTTTTATTTTTTAGCTCCGCAGGCGAAAATTTTTTATTTTCACAAGGCCAAGAACCCAGAATCCATAGAAACTTTCAGAATTCGTAAAAAAAATTTTCAGATTTCATAATTTTTCATCCATATTTAGAGTATTTTTGGCTTGATTGGTCATTGTTTGTATATACGTTTTGGACGTGTTGGTTTTTTCCTTTCAATTTATCTAAAATTACCAGCTGTGTATTTGGCTATTATTAATTTTATGTATAATCATTTTTGCTTTGTGGAAGGAATGTCAACAGCAATCCTTCTTTTAAATAGACTAACAGCCCTTTTATGGCCATTAAAATATGAAAGGGTGCATTCTAAGATGTATAATTTTTATTAATTTAAAATTCAGATTTGGAATAAATTATGGTATTGGGCAATTATTCTTGCTTATCTACTTCCACTAACATTAAGTTGGCATATTTTGTTTTCAGATGTAGTTGTTTGGGTTCATAATAATGAAACTTTTAGTTTGTATACACAAATGAAACCTGATGTAATAATTTATTTTTAGAAAAAATTTAAATAGAAATTTTTTTGAAAAAATTTATTATTTCCTATAAATTTACAGGATCCAAATGACCCATTAATTAGTTCGTTGTTTTGTATTTTTTTCACGATTATCTGTTTACTAATCAATCTTGCATGTCTTTTTATCTATAAAAGGACAAAAATTGCCAGTTCGCAGCAAACTGAAAGTAAGCAAAAAATGGAAATGCGATTGACAATTTACTCGCTTTGGACCTTCTTTGGGCAACTTTTATGCGTTTTTTATTTGGTAAATTGGGAATAATTTATGTAGTTAAACTATAATTTTAGATAATTCTCTACATTTCATCCTCCCAACTTCAAAAATTTGTTGATCCAGACTTGGCAGAACTGATATTTTTGACAGTTTTTAATCAGTATTCTTGGGTCAACGATATTAGTATAATTGCCATTCCTGCATTTTTGCTTCTTTGGGCATCTGAAATGATGCGTTCCCGTATTTATTCAATAATTCGAATAATTTGTTTTTTATCTAAAAATACTAATAATAATGCTGTTATGGTTATCCCTAAGTAAACAAGCTTTTACTTCTTGTACATAAGTATTACACAAAAGCAAACTAAATAAACTTTTAATTCTTTTAATATTTTTTTTGTTTTTTTCATTTTATATCTCATGAAGAAGTCGACTCTATCTTATTCCCCTTTTTAGAAAAATTTTTTTTTTAAATTAATATCTTCTATTAAATATAGTGGGTAATCATTGTTTCGACCTCTTGCTGGAGGGTGTAATTATTCGAAAGGAGGTGCTAAATTTGGGGTATATCTCAATAAATCAAGGAGGGAATCTATTTATTTATTGTTTAATAAGCTGTTTCAATAATTAAAATTGACAATAATTTTTTCAACATATTCAAGATTTGTGTAAAAAATGAGGGGGTAATTATTAAAGAGGGTAATTATTTGAAAGAGGGTAATTATTCGAGCATATACGGTATGTGTAATTAATTTGCTTAAAATCAATCCAATTTCCAAAAAAAAATTAAAAATATTTGAAGCTTGTTTTCGCTGTCATCACAAATCTAATATATTTTATTATTTTATTTCAGAGTCTTAACTTCCAAAAAACGGATTTGTTAAAGTTTTTTTCTAATTTTCCTCTAAATTTTTCCAAAAAAAAACAATTTTTATATCACATGTTAATTCTAAAAATAAGGGAGGGGAGATGTTAAAGAGAAAGGCATGGTGGAGGGATTTTAGATGCACTTTAAAAATTCAATAGCTAGTCAGTCAATCATTTACCTATAAGGAAAATTGATTTAATGCTTGTCAAATTTAATTTTTATTAAATAATTTAATTAGCTTGTCTTTTTTAATTTAAATAATTAAATTAATTAATTTAATTAATTAACTTTAATAAGCTTAATAATTTAAATATAACCCTTTAAAATATAATGTTTTTCCTAAATAAGGTTATAAACATTTAATAGGTAACAGAGATGTTTTAAAACTGGAAAATCTTCAAAAATCGTAGATCGAAAACGAAAAAAAATTTTAAAAAGTGGAAATTATTTCCCCAAATTTTTGGTAAGATTGCTAGAGCGCTGTAAAACTGCAGGCACTCAGAGCTAGGCTATGTTGGCGGATCCTGGGAAATCCAAGGATACCTTGATCCGTGTCATCGAACTGTTGTTTGATGCGAATACGTTCTCCGTAATAATTTTCTGGAAGGCTGTTAATAAGATTAAGTGTGAATTATAGGAGTTTGAAGGGATATATATTTGAATTGAGATTTTCTTTTTTCAGTGACTCTGATCCCCGAACCCCGAAGGCTCTATCCCGGCAAGCCTCGATCCCCGACGATCCCGCCCCCGAAGGCTCGGGGTTTTGTTTATTAAATTTTATACTTTTATTTTAAAATTAAGTTTTAAATGGATTTCAATTACTATTATAGTCCGACTGAATTTTTGTTTTTTGAGTAATGCTGAAACTCGATTTACTTAGATTTTAATTAAGACTATAATCTTTGAACATTTTTAGGGAAAAAATTATTTAAATAAGCAAATGCTTATTTATTTAATTATTTTTTTGCTTCTACCAACAGCACCGGAAACAAATGCTTTTCCAAATTTATACAAAGGTGTTATTTTAGTTATTTCCTTTAATTAAATCATAAAAATTAAATTAGGCATTTGTAATGTATATAACAAGATGAGTTTAATTTACAATCCATTGAATGGTTCTACAGAAATAATTTTGGAAAATTATTTCAAAGAATTAATTTCAACGGAAGATCCCAAACAAATTAACAAAATGTATTTGAAAATATCAATACTTTCTCAAGTATTTTTAACAGAAATTGCTTTGGACAGAGCTGAGGCAGGAGATAATATAGGGTTAAATAAATATGTAAAATATTTATAAAAAAAGATTTTTAAAGATTATTTGAACGATTTACCATGCTGTGTCCAGTTAACTTTATTTTGCCTTATGAACTACGTTTGTGTGATATAGTAGCAGCTTATAAATCAGATTATAAAAAATTAATAGAAAAAAATTTTGAAAAAAATAAAAAAAAATATTCTACGAAAGATTGCACGTATGCAGATGACGAAAAATTGAAAAAAATATTTTTGGAATTTCAAGAAGAAATTTGGGAAGCTAATTTTATTGTTTTCTTTAAATTTTTTATAAATCAAAAGGGAGAGTCTTTTCAAAAAATTTTGCGGTACGTTTTATTCTAATATGGAACAATTTTTTTCTTAAAATTTTGGCCAGTTAGATACATTAATCAAAAACTTATTTATAATAAGATTTTGTTTTTCCTGAATTATTTTAACGGAGATTTGATATAATATAACGGAGATCTTTTTTATAAAATGAAAATTATTAAAAATTTTTACAAATATTTTTAACCTCTTATTATTGAATATTTTAATTAAATACTAAGATCTTTTTCTGACAACAAAACCCGAGTAAACGAGAGAATGGAAATGGTTTTTGGATCGCTGCGTTTTTTTGTTTTACATGAAATGCTTCCGGAATATTTTGGCAAACTAGGTATTAATATTTAATTAATGTATAATTAATTAAATCGGATACCCGGATCGCCCAACCTTATTTCAGATACAAAGCTGACGCATGACATTAGCATATATGTAGATAGAGCTTCGTTTTACAAAATTTTACAGATTATGGAAGCTCTACTATCCTAAACTCCGGTTTCTCTCTTAAAATTGTCCCAAAATTTTGACATTTTTTCTAAATTAGTTAAAAATATTTTGTGTCTCGTGGCAAAATACGAGATACAAGACATCCAAAAGCACAAGATTTCGCGAGATACGAGACGAGCTCCACCCCTGGTAAAATTGAATTTCTACTCATTGTAAAATTCTCCAGAAAATACAGTAAATATGCATATCTACCGCACCTTAAGGATTGTTTTGAATTTTAATTTTGAGTCATTCGAAAGCGATTTAAATTTGCTAAAGGATAGTAAGAGTAAAATTTTCAGAAAAAATGGACTTTTTATTTTATAGAGAATATAGATAATTTTATTTTATAGAAAACATTTCTGTTAAAAATTATTTGCTCAAATTGTCTGATGATTCTCATGCAACTGAAATAAATCTATTTGATGATAAAACTTTAATTAAGATGTTTTATGATTCATTAAAAACTTTAAATGATTTATCTGATGATTCTATTTTAAATAAAGCAAAATTTAAATTAAATAAAACAAAATACCAACAATGGAGAATATTACATGTTTTGGATTATTTTCTTTATAAAGGATGGTATAAAATTAATATAGAAAATAAAGGTAATTTTGAGGAAATTAAATATTTATTTTTATTTGTTTTTTAGTTGGAATTGAACAAATAAAAAATATTTGGGAAATAATTTTTGAAAATTATTGGAATGGAAATAATTTTCTTAAAGAATTTGTTTTGAATTTTAATGAAATTGAAGAGGAAGAAATTGAAAGGGAATTCGACGTAATTTTAAGTTTAACAAATTCAGGAATAGGGAAATCCCGATTTTTTCATTCTCGTTTTTTCTAAATCTAAACAGGATTGCGCCAGCTTCTTTGTTTTTTTTCCATTTGTTTTGAAACTTTTTGAGGGAAAAACGTATTTGTGCATGCACTTTGATGGCCTTATCTTAATTTTGAAAATTAAGAAAAGACCGGACTATTTATATAATGGGTTGACCCAAAAGAATGAGTCCTTTTTTGGGCTAGATTTGAAATTGTACACTTGGAATTAATTCCCAGGGGCACTGGACTTAATGGAAATCTCTATCGTACAATCATTGACCGTGTTCAAGTTGCCATTGATGGTTTCACAGTTCAGGGACGACGTCAAGGCCAGGTTGTTTTCCATCAGAACAACGCGCCTCCACACCGTGCAAATGCAACTCGTGCCCACATTACTCGGATGGGAAATTCTACCACATGCGCCTTACTCACCGGACATTTCGCCATCTGATTATCACTTATTCCTGTCTAAGAAAAATCATTTACGTGAAGTTCGATTCCAAAATGATACGCAAATCAAAAATTGTGTAACTGATTTTCTGGAGGCAAAAGCAGCTACAACTTTTTATCAAAGAGGAATTCAAAAGCTGCCCAGAAAATGGCAAGAAGTAATAGATAATAATGGGCAATGCATCGTTTCTTGATTGTTTTTGTTTTCTTTGTTATAGCTAATTATTTGCATTATCCATAAATGGCTCATTCTTTTCGGGTCAACCCATTAATAGATAAGAGAATTACATGGGTTAAAATTAAAATATCGATAAAAATAATTTTTTATACTTTTATAAGCAAATATACAGTACTGCACAAAAGTATAAGAACACTTTCAAAAAGCTTATAACTTGGGACATACTTGACAAAATTTTAGGAAATTTTGTGTAAATGTGTGGATTATAAAGAGAAACACGATTAAATAATTAAAATTTTAAATTTTTTAAAACATCTCTCCAAAACTTAAAATTATTAAAATTTCGCGTTTTTTTACTGCACAAAAGTATAAGAACACTTTATAAAAAAGATACTTCCAAGATTAGGAAAAATTTACAAAAATTCTAGCGAGCATACATAATGATATTATGAAAAAATAAAAAAGAACTAGACTCATATCTTTACCCGGAGCCGAGATCCCGAAACCCCGAAAATCAACGTAAAACGGGGGTAAGGCTCTTTAAAAAAATTTTTCGACCCCTTACTAATTATTTTCAATTTTTATTTTGGGCTCATTTGAAAGCCCTTGAAATTTGCTACAAGATAGCAACAATCTTATTTTTATGAAAAAATTTTATAGGGAGGTACATGCATTCAAACTTCGGAAGCGACCTTAAGGGGAATTTTATGGGGCATTAAGGCGTTTTTTTCTGCATAAAAAGTTTAATGCCTGCTTCTTTCTCTAAAATTTTTTCTGAAAAATAAGATTGTTGCTATCTTGTAGCAAATTTTAAGGGCTTTCGAATGAGCCCAAAATCAAAATTTAAAGTAATCCATAAGGGGTCGAAAATATTTTTTAAAGTTGAAAACCCCTGTTTTACGTTGATTTTCGGGGTTTCGGGATCTCGGCTCCGGGTAAAGATATGAGTCTAGTTCTTTTTTATTTTTTCATAATATCATTATGTATGCTCGCTAGAATTTTTGTAAATTTTTCCTAATCTTGGAAGTATCTTTTTTATAAAGTGTTCTTATACTTTTGGCAGTAAAAAAACGCGAAATTTTAATAATTTTAAGTTTTGGAGAGATGTTTTAAAAAATTTAAAATTTTAATTATTTAATCGTGTTTCTCTTTATAATCCACACATTTACACAAAATTTCCTAAAATTTGGTCAAGTATGTCCCAAGTTATAAGCTTTTTGAAAGTGTTCTTATACTTTTGTGCAGTACTGTATTTTAATCCAAATGGTTATTCTCAAACTAATTCTGATGTTCATTTAAAATATTTGTTTGTAATGAAAGATTGTACAGAAAATATTTTAAATGATAAAAATATAACAATAAATGAAGAAAATAAAGAAGAAAATAAAAAATATTTGAACAATTGTGTAAATGAGGAAATTAAAAAATTAGATGAAAACATTGAAGAAATGGATAAATTTGAAAGAAATATTCAAAAATTAAAATTTATTGAAAAAATATATAAAGATAAAGTGTATAATCCAATTCAAACAATGAACGAAAAGAATGGGTTAGAAAAAAGTAAATTTTAAATTAAAAATGTGTCGAGCAAGTTTTTCGAATTTTTTTCGGAGAAATAAATAAGCATGTTAATATCCATAGGTTTAAGGGATGTTGCAAATTTAATTTTAAATCGCGTAAAAGTCGGGAGAAATAAATGAACGGAACTCGGAGGGAACAATTTTGTTGATAAAAGTCAAGAAACTAAAAACTAATAAAGGTCAAAAATAAACGACGGCTGGGAATGGGGAGCTTGTGGTTCATAACTTTCAAAAGCCGAAAAGCCAAAAGATAATTTTTAGCTACACTTGAAATTTTTCTTGAAATTTCATAAGACCAAAATTTAATTTGTTGTCATTACGGGGGTATTTAAAAATAAGACGTAATTTTTCGGAAGCAACATCCCCGGTTTTTATGTTTTCATTTAATAAACTTAATTATTAGAAAATGAAATTAAAAAATTATATGGTAGTCAAAAAATAAAAGATGGAAATCGTGATAAAATAATTATGAAAAACAATGAAGAGGAAACAATATTAGAGGAGGTAAGTAATAATTTAATCTGTTCCAAGTTATATACTTGATGCTAAATTAAATTGCCAACAGGGTGGCCCTTTTACCCTATTTCTAGAGGATTTTCCCTATTTTTGACCTTTTCGCCCTATTTTTACCCTATATTCTCATTTGCCATATTTTTGCCCTATTTTTGCCATCTTGTAAAATTTTTAAAAATTCGTCGGATTTTGTAAAAAAATGGTAAAAATGAAGGATTTCTGACTTCCTGGCCTTCCAAAATCCTCAAAATTTTCGCCTGCGGCGCTGAAAATTGAAGAAATTTGACTTTTTGGCTTTCCAAAATTCTCAAAATTTTCGCTTTATTTAAAATTTTAATCATGTTTAAGCTTTTAAAACTATACCCTAATTTTTGCCCTATTTTTGGCCGATTTCTCTCTATTTTTGCCCTATTTTTGAGTGGCTGTGCCCTATTTTAGTGTTTTGGAAGGGGCCACCCTGATTGCCAATGAAAAAGAGTTGCCGTTTCTGCAGAGAATTTTTCTTTTGGGGTTATCCTGTTCGGCTAGCGCATTTAAAAAATTTTCAGATATCCAAAAAAAACTTTAGATAGTTAAAATACAAAGCCTTTCAACAGGAATTAAATTAAAATTTTTTAATTTAGTTATTTATTTTTTATTTTTATTTTTTTTATTTTTATTTTTTTTATTTTTTACTAGTAAACTGAAAACAAAAGCTAAAAGCTTATTTCTGGGTATAAACATATTTTAAAATAAAATTGTATATCCTAAGGCATTATTTGATCATTCTCCTCCATAGCTGATTAATATTTCACCTAACAATGATTAATTTAATTTTTGTAGCAAAATTTGCCAAAGAATCTAAAAGGAAAAGAAATTATTCGAGAAATTGAAGAAGAAATTAAAGAGGAAGACGAAGAAATATTTTCTGCAAAATTAATAGATGAAGTTATAATGAAGGAATATACACGTAAATATTTTTTAGAAATAAATTACGATCTTAAT